GGGCTTACTATTTTGCAGTTCATATCGTATTTTAATTTCAAGCAAAGACAACTTCCCTGTTTAAAAGTGGAAAAGATCCAAGAGAACACCCTATTTCTGGGCCACAGGCAGTGCTGATGGGACATGTCCTTCCACAGCATCTCCTCTATGTCTCTCCTGCCGCTGGCGAACAAAAGTCCTTTGGCTCGTAGCAGTGGAAGCTTCTAAACTGACTCTTCATGTGAAAAAGTTTACTTTCTGCTCTCCTACAAAACTCATACAGACTTCGACTGGCAGGACAGATGGAAGCTGGGTTATCTCAGCTTTAAGGGCTGCCCCCCTGCACAGGTTTAATCTGTGCTGCTTTAACAATCTGCACATGCAATACATGAGGCTGTGAAGCATGACTGGATTTGCCCTTGGTTTTGATTTTGTCAGAGATCTGACAATTAGGATTTGTTCCAACATAATGAAGTGGGCTGTTGGCAAGATGTAATCTTTTATTGATCCCTGGGGCTTGGCAAAATAGAAACACAAAGAAATGAATGAAATACACTATATGGTCTCTTTGGATTTTCACTTGATGTTTATTTCTGTAAGTGCTTATTTTTTTTCTACATCTGCTTTCAGTTGTGCCCGATTATATCAAGCATCTTCTCATATCTGTCAGCTTGAACTGTACTTACTCCTCTTCATGAACCTGAAATGCAATTGAGATAGTATACAACTGTTAAAAATGGAAGTGTTGAGGGGGTTTTAGAGTAAGTTCACAAGTAAATGACAAAAGGGTCTCTTCACTAATGGTGAATGGCTCCCTGGTATTACCAGTTCTTATCTGAAGTAGACTAGCACCAGTCTAGCCAACCTTTGCCGTCTTACTTCAGCTAACACCACAGGTTTCTTGTCCTCGTGCTGGAGTATATATCCCTGTGGCAGCGGATGATTTCTATACAACCCCGTTTCAACAGATGGTGGTGTTCGTTCTGAATCACACACGCTTCCCAGAGTTTCCAGGAACATGGCTACTAGTAGCAGTAGACAAGGTATCTCTAATGCTACACGATTCAAGTAGTCTCTCCGATGCCTTTTGCTCCTCAAAGGAGATGCGCCATGACTTTTGGGATAGCACTTGCACTGCCTGAACGTGTTTCCCGGCAGCCACTGCCATTACTGCCACAGGCCCTTTTTGTGGAGAGGACACCTCTGCGTGTACTGTTGAGCTCATCTTCTGACAGCGCAATACTCTGCTATAAGCCAGAGCTGGAATTGGTGTTGGCAAACTAGCATCTGACTAATAAAATCAGACATCCGCTTTTCTGTAACTTTTGCATATTTGAGGCAGAAAGAGGGTACTAATAAGATACAGGGAATAAACAGCACTCTCCACAGTATTTAAAAAAATACATTACTTTCATGGTTTACCTATTTCAGTGTCTGTGTGATGCTGTGGCATTGTGAACTTATATGAATTTTCACTTTTTTTGTAGGGCTGGAATAATTTAAAGAAAATTATGTGGGAATTTTTTACTCTTAAAAGCTGCAAAACTTATTTTGAGCTTCAGTTACAGTACTGCTTCCATCAGACGTAAGTGTGTGAGAGATCAGATCTTCATGCAGTTTTAATATACCTCTGCTCTAGACGGTGGAGCTACAGTCATTTGTATCAGTCAAAGGTGACTTTATTAGTCCAATATAAAAGCAGAAATTTGAGTGTTTCCTCCCACAGAATGGTGGATACAGAAGAGATAGGGAAGGTGTTGGGATGAAATAAGATAAAAATACCAAAATTATACAGAAAGTTGTTTGTTTTTTTTTTTTCCTCTATCTTGATTCAGGAGCTGTCACCTCCATAAAACTTACATGACATTAGGCGTGGCATTTTATGTTTCACTTGCGAATGAAATAGATGAAGCAATGACCCAGCTCCTCTTTCTATCAATCCTACAAGTAACAACCCCACTCTTACTTGCCCTGGTTGCCACAAGGCAAGCATAGATAAGCAAAGGTTTGCTTTCAGTTCCAGACCAAGTCCTTGGGCACGTTTTAGTTTCCTCAATATTATTCTACTACCATTCTGCTCAAGTGCAAAACACCACAAGTATATTTCTAATTACTAATGACTTACCAGCACCTAAGTGACTAATCACTAATATTTTCTTTTCATCCAGGTCTTCACATCAATGTAAGTTATTGAAAGAGCGATGTTAAAATATCTGGCACTTTGCTAGTGCAGTAATGCCCAGGCTGTATTACATGCATAGAAATCTACATCATCAGAGGGAGAAAAAGATGGAGCTTTTTAATAGCCTTTGCAAAAAAAAAACCACAAACCCACCAAACCAAAATCACCAGTTCTGGAAACTTCTGTCTGCTGAGCACAGAGGTTAAATGACAACATCAAGAGGACAGAGAATTCATTTTGCCTAAGCACGAGATTGCTGTCCTAAAGGCTTACCTTAATGTTAAAATAAAGAGTAGACTGAAACTAAAAAACATAGTAGTAAACAAGAATTTATCCTAGTCCATGCTACTTTAAGAGATGTAACAGATCTTCCCGCATACACAGCATCCACTAACATATATTAAACAGTCACATTTACCCCATAGGGTATAACCATACCTTTTTCATGCTGATGTCTCTTGACTTGCTCCTCAGCTTATTAACTTGAGACTCAGCTATTTCAGCCCGTTCTTCAGCATCATCCAGATCATGTTGCTGTTTTCTGTACTTTGAAAGGTACAGATTGGCTTGAGCTTCCTGGTGAGAGAAAGCAGTGCAGCTGATTTCCTCCTGTCCACGTGAAACAAAGCTTTCCATTTCAAGTGGAATGGGAAGTGCTCGGCATGACTAGGTAACAGCTGTATGGCAACCACTTGCCTCCCGGAGAACCGAGACTGTTGTTTTACAGAGTTGATGTTTCCAGTGGCACTCTCCATGTTAAGTGAACTGGGAGGTTCCCAACGTGCCTCCTGAAGGACTAGGGGGGAAAAAAGTCTCTCCTGTTCCTTCCCTTCCCCCCTTCCCTTCCAAATTATACTGCAACCTTAAGAGAAAATTGAATACTTTTTCTTAAATATAATCAACACATATGCTATGTATTTTATTTTGTATATATTATAAATACATTTATACATACAGGGTTTATATGAATATGAATATAAATACAAATATTAATACACACACAAAATGTGTATTTGTACTAAAATCCTCTATGGATTAAAGATGTGGGTTTAGGACAATACATTTCTCAAAGGTAAAAAGGCCCAAGTAGTTACTTACAGCTTCCTCTGCTTGGTGCTTGTAGCTCTTCACTTTTAATTGTAGCTTGTCAATCAGATCCTGCATCCTGGCCAGATTCTTCTTATCTTCTTCTGACTGCATCAGAACACCATTAATTGGGTTGACAGTGTAAAAAGGCCTAAAGCATCTCCCACAATGAAATGGGTATGGCTGCCATAGATATCATTTTAGAAACATATAATTCAAAATACAAACAAGCCATATTGTGATGACCCCGGAGGCTGAGGACGAAAAGAGAGTGCCCTCCCCCTTTTTATATATATGTAAGTTTATATACATATACACATACATATATATATGCACGCATGTTCAGAAGTATACACATTAACACACACACAGTTCCTTCCTCAGGGATGAGGAGCACTCTTGTCATTATAGGGCGTGTCATTATGTAGTGAAACAGACCTATGGGTGGGCCTAAAATATATGTAAATTCCACGTTTAAAAATCTACTTTGGAGGCATTTCTGGTAAAAGGAGCCAGGTTTAAGCTGTCACAGTCCAGAAGCAGAAGGACCAGCTAATTCTGTCTGCCTGTGCCAGAGCACTGTATTCTAAGAAAACAACCTTCAGCCTCTGCGTACAAAAGTCAGAGTAAAACAACAGGTAGGAGGCTAAATAATCTCCTAAAGCAGATGGATGGGATTATCTTCTTAAGAATGCTGTTGAAAGCAAAAGGATCAGTGCTCTGTGCTGAAGACCTTTTTTGAAAGGCAAGCAGCAACAGCAGCTGTCGGCAAACCTGTGGGAGGCTCACCACTAGGCCTTGCTGCTCAGCAACAGGGGACAGAGCCCTGGGACTGGGCAACCCTACACTAAGTGATGCGTTACAGTCAACTGAATCCTTCTGGCTCTTTTTCACAACATCAGCATAGCTGAGAGACAGCTGGGCTCTTTCTTCTCTT